TCACACACTGTGGCATGATCCCCCACTAGCATACATGCACACACACACACACACACACACACACACACACTATGGCATGAACTCCCACTATATTATACACACACACACACACACACACAGTGACATGATCCCCCACTAGTATATATACACACACACACACACAGTGACATGATCCCCCACTAGTGTATACACACACAGTGACATGATTCCCCACTAGTGTATATACACACACACCTTGTGGCATGATCCCCCACTAACCTACACACACACACTGCGGGATGACCCTCCCACCCTGCGTATACACACACTCTATATTTACAAATGAAAACAGCCCCACACAGAGGCTCTGGTCTTGGACTGTACACTTGCCCTGCTTTGCTTTGCAGTGGACCTTCTCCTACGTAGGCTTTCCCGTGGAGCTGAGCACAGTCTATTTCATCGGGGCCCATAACATCCCCAATGCTAACATGAATGAAGACAGCCCTTCTTTGTCTGTGAACTTCACCTCTCCAGGTAAACATCCTCACTCTTTGGCGATTCTGTCTTACTGTCTTACCTGTGTTATGGCATGTGGTTTGGTGTGGAGTCTTGGGAAGCCTTTGAAGCCTTAGTTTCCCCCATCCGTGGACACAGTGCTAATCACTCCACACTCAGGGTGGAGAGCGTTGTTAGGTAAGCATGAGAGAATCATGTTCCTGGGTGCCAGGCAGGAAGCAAGATGTACCATCTCTCCAAGCACTTGCCCTGGGTCCTACGCACAACAATGGTGATGCCCTGACTGGGCTCCTTTGTGGTTGGTACCATCCACGGTGGCTTTGGTGCCACACCACTTACTATATGGCACTTTCCAGCTTTCCTAAATGACACCAAAGCTCACCGGGATTTTATAAAGTGAGTTTTATTTGGGGATGGTTTTAGAGACGCTGCAAAAGTAGACCAAGTTTCCATCCCGTTCTCAGTTCCTCTTGCTGTTAGCGTCTGCTCTCCGGAGTCCATTATGAAAACTAGGAAGATAACGTTGGCATATTTCTATCTACTCAACACCAGGCTTTGGGGATTTCAGCTGCTTATCCATTGCATTTTCTTCCTGTTCCTCAGCCTCCTCTGGCTGTTGTTTTCCATGACCTCATCAAACATCGATAGTTTGTCGCTAATTTGAGTTTGTCTGATGTTTGTTTCATATGTGGGTCAGGGAGCTGAGATTTGGGCATGAATCTCACAGGAGACATTGAACCCTCCTTACTATGTCCTCCCTGGGGTGTGTTAATTAGTGAGGGTCATGCCTACTAGGCAACTGGGTCCCTACCACCTAGAGCCTCGTGTCTGGAAGAGGCGGAAACTGCATGTATTGTCAACTCCCACTTTTTGGTTTCCAAGTCACTTCTCGGTGATCATTTAGATAAAGGCTGTGCTTAAAATGAGATTACTTACAGCCTCCACGGGTGAATGGTTTTCTGTTTAACTGTAAAATGATTTCTAGACCTGACTTCTCTCTCATGTCTGAAGAGAGTGTATGTGGTGTGTGTGTGTGTGTACTGGGAAAGGGGTTATAGTAGAGATACCTTTTACTCAAATGTAACAACTTTCATTCAAATTCCCAGGCTGCCTAAACAATGTAATGAAATATAAAAAGCGGTGCATTGAGGCAGGTAAGTAGATGTAGCATTTCGCTTTCCTCAGTTAGAGATCCTCCTAACTGGGACCCATGGAGCTCCATTCAGCCGCAGATAGATAAAGGAACTAAGATGTGGAGATGGAAGTTCTCTGTCTAAGCCACTCAGTGAAGGCCTGCCTTGGGTTAAGCAGCTATCTAGATTGGGACAGACTCTTGGGTTTACTAGAGCAGCAACTGCTACAGGAAACCACCCTATCCCTTGGCTAAACCCAAGGGATATCCCAAACCCCACTTAACAGCATGCTCATGGAAAGTGCTTTGTGATTGGAGGAGAGCCCCACTAGCCTTTACACCTGCTTATTACAACTGACCTGTGGTCAGTGGAGGCTCTGGGTACCTTCTGTTTGGATTAACAAACATGGTCAAGTGTTGGTTCAAGTAAGGCCCTGGAGGCCTTCTCAAAAGACTACCTCCTATTCGCAGAAAATTCTTTGATCTGTGATGGAGTTGCTTTAGGATAAGTCAGTGCCTCATCCCAATTTCTATGGGTGAGTATAAACTTTGGGGCAGTATAGTCTTGTGATGCTAATGAAGTTAGAGATATTGGCTGGGGGTAGGGGATCTTTATTCCCACCAAGAGAGCACTCTCAAAGAATTTTGAGGCTCTAAGGTTATGAGCTGCAGGACCTAGAATGCGTCCTCCTCCAACCCACTCCAAGAACCAGCTCCCAGCCAGGGGCCGAACTGGTCCCATCAGCAGAGAGCCAACTTGTGCTATTATATAGACATGTTCCTGGAAATTTGCCCAGTCTTATTTGCAAGTCACATGAGCGAGACAACTGATTCCTGTAAGCTGTGTGACATTTCCTTCCTTGTATCCAGTGATGCTGACAGCCTGTCTGTAAGCTCTGAGCCTCAGTTCACTTACTCCATATTCTGGGGCATTCCTCCTAAACTGATGTCCCTCCTCTATCCCAGAAAGGAGGAAACAGAGGTCCTAGCTCTCTTACCTCAAAATGTAGGGTGAACATTGAACTGAGTTGTAGACTTTGATCTGTAACTTCCATTCCTAGCTATTTTTAGTAAAGCAAATGGCATGAGAGGGGTGTCCCTAAACTTTCTTAGAAATCAGATACTTTGCAATTCTGGGAATAGTGTCGGAAGATATACTATAGTTGAGTCCATGTCTCTTAGGATTTAGATTTGTTTCTGGAAAGCCCCCTTGGGGACTCAGATAAGGGAGGGGTCACCCATGTGGTTCTCTCTCAACTTGTAGGAAGCCTGTGGGACCCAAATATCACTGCTTGTAAAAAGAACGAGACGACGGTTGAAGTGAATTTTACAGCCAATTCCCTTGGAGAAAGCTACAGGGTTAACATTCTACAAAACCAAGGAGAACTGGGGTGGTCTCTTGTGGAGGAGGTATTTTCCCCTTCACCCCTTTATTACCACCCCATTCCCAACCCCAGATACTTCAGTATCTTGAAGTAGAGACATTTTAGAATCCTTTGAATAGGTTTTCTTCCAAGAGATCCCAGAGCTATCTGTGGTCCAAATCCCTGTAGGCATCCTATGGATGATGAGTCTAAAGCCAACTACAGACAGAAGTTTGAGGCTTCTGACGTGAGTCCTTCTTCACATAGTCTGACGCACCAGAAGTCAGTTAGGAACAGTGGCTTCGTCACTCTCTGTCTACTCACTCGTGACTACAGCTCTGACTGTCTCTCACTTATCTGCACCAGAATAAACTGACACGGATGTCTGTGGCCATTTCGGTGAACGAGGAAAGTGAAGGTACCGAGGTCGAGGTGAGTTAAATAGCGGTCTGCAAAGGGAGGGCCACGACAGAGCTGTTTGCTCCACCATGGATGCTTTCTGTATGTCTTCATGGGATGCTAGGGGTCGAACCTAGGACTTCTTGAATTATAGGTGAGTGTTCAGCAATTGATACACACAAGCCCTCCACATGCATTTTAAGGATGGCAAGCTTCCCCCCAGTATCCCCCATCAAGCTGGGTGTCGGGGACTCTTTAGCGTCTACAAGAGTGAAAGCTGATGCCACAGGTGTGGTGCCTTTGCTTGGGTGGGTGGCTGTTGACTTCCCAAAGGGCTTTTATTTTTATTTTCAGTCCTGGATTCTCAGAGTAATTCTGAGATGGGACAGTCATTTTATTTCCCCAAAGCCTCAGTTTTAACTCAGAAGTGAAGCCGAATGGGTTGAAGCTGGAAGGCTGTCCAGTGTCCAGGTCAGTGTCTGAACTTAGGAGAGCAGCTGTTCACCTTCTGGGAGCCTCAGCTGGCCCAGGAGGAAACAGGAAGTTGGAAGGGTAGGTACTCAGGTCCCTGTAGTCTACAACATGGATACACAGAGGGTCACAGTCCATGACGGTGCCCGCGAGCCATTCTCCACTCCCTCGAACATGCAGCGCTCAGGATGACCAAGAAAGTGGACCCTGGCATGACAGCACCTGCACCTTCCGGGAAGTCGTGGACTGCCCTAGTGCTGGGTCACTTACCTACTGTGGTCCAGGGGAGAGATTTGTATGTTTATTAGGATGTAGCCGCCCTATCAGATAAGGAAAACTCCGTGGCTATAAAGTGAACAAAGTTCAAGGGCATCGCTGGGGCATTGCCAGTGTCTTGGTCCGGAGTCCCCAGATTGGATCTGTGGCTACAGAAGGGGAAACAAGGGGGAAACTGTTGATGCCAATGCCATGAGGTGAAAATCACATTTCAGAAGGGGAAAGGGCTGTGCTGGAAGTGTGAGCACTGTAGTCTTCCTCTCCTTTTCCTCAGCTGATACCATATTTCCACACCTGTATGCCTGACTGCATCCGACGCAGAGGACTGGTTGGGCTTTGTATAGACACAAGTGGCCCCTACCCGCCAGACAACAGTAAGTACCAGTCATTACCGAGGGATGATCGGAGAGGCTCAGGACACACAGGGCCCCTTTGAGATGTAACAGATTGTTCTGTGTCTTGGAGGGGCATTACGAGGTCCCTGCCGGTGTACCGTGAACAATACCTCTGCTACCCCAGAGATCTCATAAGCAAGTAAGAACAAAGGATCTAATTACAAACACAATATCTTTTCAAAAGCAGAATATACAGAAGGGGGAATAAAGAGCGCAAGATGGTTGTTTGAAGTGCCGCAGACAATGAAAAGAGTTACTGGGAATGAGGGGCCAGCGTGAGGGGCCAGTGTGAGCAGGAGCTGGTGTGAGGGGCATGAGGGGTTGGTGTGAGCAGGGGCTGAGTCCACGAGGGGTATTCCAATTCTCTCTGAATCCTATTTGGTTAACAAATCAGGAATACTGGCACCAAAACATGCCTTCCTGGTGCCGGAGAGCATGTTCTGGAAAATGTCTCTGCATTTAGAGATGTGTCAGTTCTTTTTATTAACAATGGACAGATGTTCTGAAACTAGCCCATGGGTTACAAAAGACAAAAAACAGCCAGCCAAACTTTAGATAGCTACTCCCGCAGGCCCTGACTTCTATGTGGGCACACTGCTGTGTGTACATTATGTTTGTAAGTTCTTCCTGAGGAACAAAGATTCTCCAGACAACAAAAGTCATCATTCAAACCCTGGTTGAATGAAATTTGAAACAGTGAAAAGAAATTTGAGTTTGGAGAAAGTCCCCTAATTCCCTGCTGAGACTCTGGGGAGGAGAGGGCTGGTGAGGTCACTCAGTGATCACTCTTGCTAGGAAGGTCTTACAACCTGGGTCTGAGCCCTGGAAGCCATCGTGAAAGGACAGAAGAAATGACCTCATGTTGTCCTCTGACCTTCACACACACTCTGGCATTGTGTGCCTGCATTCACACCCACCACAGTTATACTTTCAGTGGTTGGTTGTGAGCCTAGCCTTTAGTGGCCGAGCCATCTTTCTAGTACACAGTAATACATTTTTTGAAAGAGACCTGAATCCTGGGAAAGAACCCTTAATCAGCATCCCCCTAAAGACCATCTAGCCCTTGGTTAGAAAAGGTCTAAGACCCCACTAAGAAGAGTAAAAAAAAAATCCATGTGCAAGTAGAGGCCAAGTGCAGCTTTGCTTGCTAAAGGTGACCAAGCTGTTTCCTGCAGACAGAAGCATGCTGGGAGGCTGGGTGCCCCTCATCTTGGTGCTGCTGGTGGCTACATGGGTGCTGGTAGTTGGGATCTACCTAACTCGGAGGCAAGGTAAGGGCGGTCACTCTGAAGATACCCTGAGATCCTCCCCACCTGCCTGGACAGAGAAGGGAATCTAGCTAGGTGTGGCGACAGAAACCTTGCAGTCTAGGCCCTTGGGAGGAGGAGGAAGTGGGACAGGAGTTCAAGGACAGCCCCCAGAGGTTACTGTTCAAGGCCAGCTTAAGCTAAGCGAGAACCTGTCTCAAAGAGCCAAAAAGGAGGTCTTAGTGTACTGTGAGTTGCTCCTGTGTCTTGGCAGAAGATTAACTCTGTGCTTTAAGCTCAGAAAGCCACATGAACGAAATTTCATCTCGGGAATCCCTGCACTTAGAAGATGCTGCTGGCGCCGTTAGCTACAGGGCTATAGTAGCTTTGGACCTAAGTCTCGTTGCGTAGCACAGTGTGGGGCTTAACTTTACAGCAAAATAAAGGAACTCTACTGTCTGCAGGTAGAAAATAGACCACAGAGTTGACCCAACTCCTGATATGACATGTAAGAGGTCACATCTGTGTCGAAGTACAGAAATTTTCAACAGTTGGCTTCAAACCGGTGCCCTCAAGCCTAAACAGCTGCTCTGAGTTGATCTGAAAACAGAGCTGGTCTCTGGCGGCTGACTTAGTGATAGGGGCTTAGAAAGCACATCTTTTAAAAAGCTGTGAAGATTTAAGAATCAGTGTTTCAGGTGTTCAAAATGACTATGGGGGCTATTATTCCTCTGGCAGGAACAGATTGCCACCCTTGCTGACATTTCTCACTGACGGTTTAGACTACTGTAAAGGCCTGCTATTTGCTGGTAACTAACAAAGCTCCCCCCACAGGCAGGAGCACGGAGACTTCCTTCCCTGCCACCAGCATGCTCCTGCCCCTCGTTAAGGTCCTGGTGGTTTACCCGTCTGAGGTGTGTTTCCTTCACACGGTCTGCCGCTTCACCGACTTTCTTCAGACCCACTGCAGGAGCGAGGTCATCCTTGAAAAGTGGCAGAGGAAGAGAATAGCTGAGATGGGCCCAGTGCAGTGGCTCAGCGCGCAGAAGCAGGCGGCGGACAAGGTGGTCTTCCTTCTTTCCAGCGACACCCACGATCTCTGTGGCAGTGCCTGCGGCCCAAACACGGGTGGCGCCAGTGAGAAAGCTCAGGACCTCTTCCCTCTGGCCTTTAACCTCTTCTGTAGTGATTTCAGCACCCAGGCTCATTTGCACAAATACATGGTGGTCTGTCTTGGAGGAGCTGACATCAAGGGCGACTATAACGCTCTGAGTGTCTGCCCCCAGTATCGTCTCATGAAGGACGCCACTGCCTTTCACACAGAACTCCTCAAAGCGCCACGAAAAGTGCCAGTGAAGAAACGGTCACAAGTCTGCAGTGGCGGCTGCTCCCCATTGTAGTCTGTGCAGGAGAGGAAACTCTGAAGTCCTCCTGCTCTTCTGGTTCCAGGGACGGAAAGCTCTGGGATGGCCCCGAGGCTTCCTGTACAGGCTGTGTGTAGGGGGTACAACATCACAGAACTTGCTTTAGACCAGGAGTCTGCAGTCAGAGCTTGTGCAAACAAACATGCCTGAGGCTAGTCACCAGCAGGTTTTAGGCATATAATACCGCTACAGACATTAACGAATGGAAGCTAAGTTTACAAAAGCTCAATCATATTTATCCCCAAACACCAATAATGATTATCCCTGAAAACTAAGCATTCTGGCAATGAAGTAATAAGGCATTTCCCAGTCAGGTGTCCAGTCGTGCACTGCCCATGTCCTGCGCCGCACGCGAGACTATTCAGCCCTGTAACATTTTAATGTATTAATGAATAGTCTGTTTGAGAAGCACTCACTAATTCAGCAGCTTCCTAAGAGAAGAGGCCTATTACACACACAAGCTGGACACATCTTGTCTGACCAGATGGCCCACTGTACTGTCTGCTATCTGTATAGTACTTTCCTTTGTCAAACTTCTAGATCGACACCTTTATTTTTGTCGGAGAAGTGCTAGGAACTGAACCAAGGCTACTGTATAGGTTAGACAAATGGCTTGCCATTCAAATGAATCCCAGCCCCTTCAGTAAATTGAAAACTACTTCGCCAGCCAGGTGTGGCAGCACACACTTTTAATCCCAGCTCGGGGGATGGGGGGCTGGGGAGGGTGGGGGAGGGCGGACGGCTAAGGAACTCAAGGTCAGTCAGAGATAAGTAGCGAGACTGTCCGAGACAAACAAAAACATATTACCCATAAACCCAGGGTCTACTTTTGCCCAGTTACCCATCCACTGTTCTAGTTCCCAGAGTTCATGGTCAGTGCACATTTTCTGTTCAAGTCAAAACTAATTCACTGAAATCAGCTCTCCTGAAGTAATATTAGCTTTTTATAATCTATTACTTTGAAAAAAAAAACCACCAAGGGCTGGAGAGGTGGCTCAGAGGTTTAGAGCACTGACTGCTCTTCCAGAGGTCCTGGGTTCAGCTCCCAGCACCCACGTGTTAGCTCACTGTCATCTGGAGGGATCTGATACCATTTTCTGGCTTCTATATACATTAAAAAGATTATTATACACACACACTACCAGCGTTTTGCTTGCATTGCCTGTGTGCCCTGTGCATGCTTGGTGCCTGAGGTCAGGAGAAGGTGACGGGGTCACCTAGAACTACAACTATGGACAGGTATGAGCCACTGTGTGGATGCTGGGAATCAAACCAGGGTCTTTGCACAAACAAATGCTCTCCACTGCTGAGCTTGCTCTCTACACCCCCTAATATAAATAAATCTTATTTTTAAAAAGTCCCCAAAACCCAGGACAAGCAGCAACAGTGAACAGATCTGTAACATCCTGAGTCGTCTAGCTCTTGACTTTCTTGAAGCAGCTTTTTCTTAATGTAGAAACCACAGAAATGGATCTATAATAGCATATGTATTTGTCTAGTAAGGCTTCATAGACCATAATAAAACTGTTTTGTAAGTTATCCAGTTTCAGGTAGTTGACTGTAAAAATGTTTTTAATGGAGGCTGGGCATGGTGGTGTGAAGACCTGACTTTGCAAGTTCTGTTTTAAAGAAGGGGCTTCATCTTAAGCCATAACGGGGGGGGGGGGGCCAATCTCAGCTCTAGAAATGTGCTGCCATAGAAGAAATTTGGACAGGTACCCTAAAAATGGGCAAATAAGAAGATGGGGAGAAGGGTTATAAAATGTAATGAGGTCCAGATGTTCCTAGGAGGCATCCTGTCCTTGAAGACACCTTGTTAGTTATTAGTGGCTCTTTGTTAGGTTTTCACGCTCAAAAACTGACCAATGGTTTTAGAAATTACCTTACCCTAAACCCTCCTTCCCCAATCCCAAGAAGTCATACCATGAACTCCCCTGAGTACAGCATTTCCCCTTTAAAAGTTCTACCCTCTCAGGGCTCCCTGCCACACTTTCTGCATCCACCATGCTGGGGTGCTGGAAAGGGGTTGGTCCAAACTTGAGTTTGTATATTAAAAACCCTTGTGCAGTTTGCATGGGAAATCTGGCTCCATGAATTCATCTGGGGACCAGAAACTTGAGCATAACAGTGGCACATGCCTTTACTGGCAGAGAAATCTGAGTCAGAGCTACATAATTGAGAGACTTTGTTTAAAAACAAAAGCAAGTTTGTATCTGGTCAGGTATGGTGGCAAACACTTTTGAAAAATGTATTTTTAATTATGGTAGGTGTGTGTACCTGCATGTGGGTGTGTACATGTGAGTACACATATGCACTCAGAAGAGGCCAATGGCATCAGATCCCTTAGGGCTGGAGTTACAGATGGTTGTGAGCTGCCACGGGGGTGCTGGGACCTGAACTAGGGTCTTCTGAAAGAGCAGCGATGTTCTTGAACACCGATCTCTCTCTCCAGCCCTTGGCACACGTTTTAAATCACAACGCTTTGGAGGGACACGGGCAGAGCTGTGAGTTCCAGGCTAAAGGGTTAAGACTTGGTCTCAGAAAAGTTGGTAATTGCATATTCTCCTCAAGGGTCATGTCTTGGGGTTGTGGCTTAATGGCAGAGAATTTGTGTATGATATACAAGGCCCTGGGTTCAGTCTGCAGTAATATAAACAGCAAATGTGAAAGGATACATCATGCGTTCTAACACATAACACATGCCTTGGGATAAAAGAAAACCCAAGATGCATGAAGTGCAAACTCCCTGCATCCAGCTTCGTAAGCAGATGCTTTGTGATGGCGGAGGTAGCGCCTAGTGTATCAAGGCTGCTACTTGGCAAGATAGCTATCCAATGCTTCACAAACGTACTGATAATAGAAGATGGGTACAGCTTGTGTCACAACTTGAACCAGAAACCAATTTCCTCTGAATGAACACCTACCACGGTAAGTAAGAGACACTCATGTGGAGGATGATCACAACAGGTAAATTATACATCTCAAAGTGTAGGGCTGATGGTAAACTCTGTTCCAACGACCCAGAAACATAAAATCACATCCTGTAAGTTGGGGCAAAAACATAAAATAACAGGTAATTTTCAAATATAAAAGTATATATTCAAATAAGTATTACCAGGTTAACCATTGCTACATCACAGAGGACCCCTCTTGGTCCTAACCTCCATCCAAGGACCCCTCTTGGTCCCAACCAAGAACTTTACCTGGTGACTCTTACAGCCCCAGCAATTCCCCATCTTGGACTTCTACATTCTCTGCCCATCTCCAGGTCTCATCCGTCTCTACTTTTATCTCTCTCAGTCCTCCCCAAGCTGACTCTGGTGATGGTGATGGCAGGAGCGATATGTAACAGCAGGCTGAAGCCCTCTGCTCCACCTAACCGACCTTCCTGTGTCACAGCCCCAGGGACTGCTCCCTGACCCGCCCTCGTCTATACCATGTCCTTCTGGTAACCTGCTGCAGCTCAGAGGCTTTCTAAGGGTCCAGACTCGCTGCCTATATTTAGTTCAGCTTCTCTCCAGAATGTTTACAGATTGAAGTCGGCTGATCATACTGAACTCCAAAAGCTTTTACTGGTTCCTCAGGAAAAGGCAAACTAGAGACTTAAAGATAAAGTTACTTATAAACTTCAGCAGCCACCTGATTTACCTCTACAATACAGGCTAATGATCCTAAATTCTTCTTTTGTTTTATTTTTTGGGGGTGGTGGGGTGAGGTGTTCTCTGTATAGCCTTGGCTGTCCTGGAACTTGCTCTATAGACCAGGCTGGCCTTGAACTCATGAGATCGGCCTGCCTCCTGAATGCTGGGTTTAAACGTGTTCTAAATTAGTCCTCAATCCTGTCCGTTTAGTTCTAGGATGGGAACATAGTCTCCTTTTCAGGTACTGTGTTCTCCTTTCCCTAAACCTGCCCTAGAGGGAACAGAGCAAGAAAACCAGCCAGTCTTGCCCTTCAGTCCTTGCTTCAGGAAACCTAGCTCTGAACTGGTACTTTGTAAATCAAACCTTGTTAAAAAAAAAACAACAAAACAAAACAAAACAAAAATGAAACAACAACAAAAAACCTTTGTAATCAAACTTTGTAAAAAAAACCACTTTGGGGAGGTGGGAGAAGCAAAGACAGTGCTTAATTCCAAGGAACCCAGAGCAGACCACTTTAGATCTAAGTACTGCTAGAGAAAAGGGCAGACACCACAGCTGGTCCCACAGGCATGCAGCACCCCTTGTCGCTGACCAGAAGGCTGGACTGTAAGGTTGCCCGTTGTGGAAAGAGTGGGGCGCAGTGGGGAGGGGGTGAGAATGTAACCTTGAAGAAAGGTTAAGAGAGTAAGTTCATATTTATTCTCAATTATAATTTCAAATCAGTGTCATACTTTAACATGAAGATGAATTCATTTAATTCTAGGAAAATTAAGCTTCAAATCCAATAAATTAAATACATATATTCCTCAAGTATTTATGTCCAGAGACTTGGTTTTGGTCGTCACCACACAAAAGCAGCCCGCTCCCGTAACATTCGGACACCAAAGCGTTGCCATTCTCGCTGATAAATCCACAGTTCCTGAGTGGTATCCAGGCACGCCAACACTGCCCCTCCTTTCCACGCGATCAGCCGGGGGTCCATATCCTGGAAAAAAGGTAAAGCTATTTTGGCAAATGAGACACATGACATCGTTTTCTGCAAGTGGGGTTGGGGTTTTGCTCAGTCAATAGCAAACAAACCAGGTTTTACATCTGTGTGGAATATCAGAACACTAGCTGGGGTGTGTACCTCAGCCACGGAGCATCTGTCTAACATGTAGGGCTGGGTTCAACTCTCAGCACTACCAGCACCAGTACAGAAGACTGAACTGACACATCCATCTCTGCTACAGCTGATGAGAATTTCTCAATCTTTAATACTAAAGACGCCACTCTTCACCACCCCGCAGACAAGCCCCATAGGTGGGCACATGGACATTCAGTACCTCCAAAGAAAAACACTGCCAGGGGTTCCAAATACAGACAGGACCTATTTCTAAACTTCTGGCTTTGTGTTGCTTTTCAAAGTAGTTGATGTCAAAAGAGGCCCTGGAAGATCTCCAGTCCAAGGACCAAAACCTTATGATGGCCAGGGAGGGAAAGGGAGTGGTCCGGTTGTCAGGAAAAGGGAAGAAATCATCTCCTGACCCACCTACAATTCCATTAGGTTAAATCCAAGCAGAGTAAGGACCAGAAAAGCCAGTCTCTCAACAACAGGTAAGCCAGCATACTCCTTAACCTCCAAAACTTGGGGGAAGCAGCAGGAGGACCAGGAATTCAGGCTCTGCACCGTAAGTTTAAGTACCTAAAAACCAAATCAGGGCTAGAGAGATGGCTCGGGTTAATAACCACTCTTCCAGGGGATCTGGGTTCGGTTCCCAGCACCTTCATGCCAGACCATAATCAACTATAACTCCATTTCCAGGGGGTCTATCTATCATCTCCTCTGGTCTCTGCAGGCACCATGTACACATATGAGCACACACATACATGTAGACAAAACACTTAAACACATAACATAAAATCAATCTTAAAAAACAAAAACACCAAACCAAAAGAAAGCTAGTTAAGAACTCCTACTATATTTGTGACCCTCTGAAAAATAATTTTTTCACATCTCTAAGTCCTCAAAACTCCAGTTACAAGCCAGTGCCTCCCTAGATTTCACTCTCCACATGCATTACAATTAGATGTAACCAACGCTGGTTTCATTTGATTACTGTCCAACTTGCAACATGAAACAACGCACCTTAGGCCTTGTGATCACGTCCACATTTTCAATAATTCGCCTGAATGAAGGTGGCATCTTGTTGAGGATTCTGTGTTGGAGAAATTCTTGAGCTTTATGGAACATCAAACCACCTCCCACAACCAGGATTGAGCTGTACATTTTCTTCTTAGTGTCGTCAGACGCTGAAAAGATAGCGACATCATGCCACTTACCCACCTACGTGGCCAGGCCACTATCCGTCACTTGGATAACAGCCTCAAGAAGTCCCCCAAAATCCATCTTCAACACTGCAGATGGGGTCTGCTGCCCACCTCCCACCTCGCTACTCCCAGGATTAGAACCAAACTTCTCAAGGAGGCCTACGGTGGTTGCTGTGTGGTTTGGAACCTAGGCCGCCTCTAGCTTTATCCTGGCTAACCATGGCTTTGCAGGCTTCCTCAGCCCAGAATGCCCCCAGCATTTAAATCATCCCTCACAACTCTCATAAGATTCAAGAAAGCCACCGCTAACTCCTCCGGAAAAGGACAAATTTCTTATCACATGTCTTAATCAGAAACTCAGCTGGGATTCCGTAGTTCAACTCTAGCGCCTACCAGAGCTGTGATTTCATGATCTGTGTGCTAATCTTCATCGCTAGAACCAGACTACATGGCAGCGCAAGCGCTCTGGGGCCAGGAACCAACCGCACTGCGTTACTGTGTTCACAGTACCCAGAAATGCAAGGGTGGAGTAGGCCTGACGGTTCTGAGAGAAAATGCTGCACTGCACACAAGACTGAACCGTTCACTTGGCTGCCACCCCACTCCACTGAATACTGGGACGCGGGGTGTGCTCACAATCAAGACTGAACCAGTCACCTAGCCACCCCACTTCTCTGCCGGTGAGCGGGGTGTGCTTACAGCAACAGTCCACGCTGTGCAGGATAGCCTTATCAAGGCCCAGGGCTTTTCCTTCAAACAGGGAGATGGCAGTTTTCCTGGACATCAGCGCGGTGAGGGCCTCCTCAGAGTCATTGCCAGCCATCAAACAGTCTCCCTGGGAAGAAGCCAAATCCACCTCCTGGGGATGAAGTCTTTCTGGAAGATCAGAGGCCTGGCCGCGGAGATCCCCTTCAAATCCAATGGGTTTGGATGCAGACTTACGGTCAGCAGTAGCTTTTGCAGACTGTAAATAAGTTAAAGAGAAAGCAATAGATGGTTTGAGCACAAGACACTGCTGGTGTTGTCCAGTTGGACTCTACCCCTTCTATTTCCTCAGAACACTATAAGCAGAAGTCACCATGGTACACACACAGCCTAGCCCCGTGCCCAGGTAATCTGAGCACACAGGAGAGGATGCTCATAAAAGCCAGAGCAGGCTCTGGACATGTGGGCAGGTTTCAGAACTGTACATCAGAGAGCGGACTTTACAACAGAAATGCCAGTATAGACTTTCTTCCACTAAGCTGACTGGTCACTGGAGTACTTGAATGGGATTCACATGCCCGGGACTATTATGGATCCATATTTCCAGGTCCAGTCTTCCTCCTCTCTTCTAGGACATGAACAAAGATTAGCAAGCTTTCAACCCCTGGTTCCAGATCAGCAATGAAAAGAACTACAGCTATGTCCATAAGCAGACACCAGGTTACTGTGGCCCCACCAAATAAATAACTCAGCTGTATTCCTGCTTTCTATATTAAGTACAAAACAATTAAAATTTTACCAAAAGTACTGCTAGATACATATCCAGAAGTAGATAAGTAAACAATACAAGCCAAAGGCAAGTGTCTTCACGGAATTAACTTTTAACTGTTCAGACTTGCATTCAGAAAAGGAGTTAGTATCCGCTAATGAGGAATGAAGAAATTCTTTAGGCAGATTTTGAACTGAGACTTCATTTTGTATGCAGTTCTGAAAACAGTATCAGGTTGGTCTATTGAAGCTGCACTGATTACAAAGATCTGTTAATTCTGGGCACAGTTCTCCTCTGTGAGGAGATGTTTCTCCCGCAGAGGGCTGCGCACCTGCTCCTGCTTGCTCTGTGTGGCCAGCAGGTAATGCTCATCATGCGGGTCCTCAGGGTCCCCCTGGGATCGGTGCTGCAAGGTTGTCATCTTCTGGCCGACGATCCCAAAGGTTGCTGGGTAAAACAGTGCCATCGGAGCCTGTGCATAAAAAGGAGGGAGCTTAGGGAAAGATGCTGTCTCCTCGAAAACGGTGGAGCTTCCTTCTTCCCAAGACAAAGGTCACCAAGCAGGTGCTCCATGTCACACTGGGCAGCAGCCCTCCTGGGAAAAGGGTTGTGTAACAGACCAGAAAACTCCTCATCCAGCTGGACGGATGGCACACCATGTGAGACTCATGAGGAAACGCAGAGTGAACGCCTTACCATCTGCTCTGTGATGTCCTAGCAAGGCCAGTGCCCATCTAAACTCCATGTTCTGAATGATTAAAAGAAAAGCCCGGGGACTGGAGAAATGGCTCAGTGGTTACGAGCACTCTTGGTGGAGGACCTGAATCCAGTTCCCAGCACGTACATCGGCAGCTCACACCCACCTGAAACTCCAGCTCCAGAATATCTGATGTCTGCTCTGGACTCTGTGGGCACCTGCACACGTACACGCATGTACCCATACAGGTATATACATATATATCTAATTATAATACAATATTTAAAAAAGAAGGGGGGCAGATTTATTCTAATCTGTACCCTAACGGGCTATGTTGGCTTGGGGACTAATCAACAACAGGGAGCTGGCATTCTGACCTCACACATTGACAACTCTCTCAGCTTCACCGACTAGGGATAGCTTTCTTTCTACCTGTGAACACATATGTCTGCCTGGTTACCTGGAGTTTTTCATCTCCTAATCGAAACTGGTAGAGCAGGGCAGGCGAATCTGGGTGCCGAATCTGAAATTCATGGTCCTGGAGCCCGGAGATGTCCTGAGTCCAGGAAAAGACGCCATCAGTGAGAACGCGAGTGAAGGCCTCCAAATATGCATAAGCCATTATATAAAGCCCAACATAACATGGCTACCCCGACTCAGAGCCACTTACCGTAAACTACATAAGAGGAGTTCACTGTCCTTTGCTTCTCTATTTGATTTCTGGAATCTCTGCCATTTGTCCTTTTTGTTTTATTCATTACTGACAGACATCAGGACTCAGTAAGAATGTGTCCTCAATAGCTGTGATATTTACAGTCTTTATGTTCCCCAAGTTTTGTAAGATTCATAATTGTATCACCTGAATAAAGTTTGAAACTGAAGCAATGGCCGGGCAGTGGTGGCGCATGCCTCTAAGCCCAGCACTCGGGAGGCAGAGGCAGTCGGATCTCTGTGAGTTCGAGACCAGCCCGGTTTACAAGAGCTAGTTCCAGGACAGGCTCGAAAGCCAAAGAAATCCTGTCTTGAAAATCCAAGACAAACAAACAAACCCTGCAGCAATGAGTGATTAAATGCTGCTAATTCACAATATAAAAGTGCACACAGCCACATTTAATTAAGCAGTGCACCTATCTCCTTACGTGTTCTATCCATTTCCCCTCAACTGTGGC